ATGGTTTGAATTTTTAAATTTAATTTCCTCAAAACTAATAATTTTTACTTAAGCAGTTCTACCTTACCGCCACGGGATTGTAATTTAAATTATTCATTACGATTTTTTTTTTTCTTTTGTATATATGTAATAATAAATTTATTTGATTTTCTTTTTATTTATTGCATTAAGTTTTTGGGTTCGATTGCATTAAATTTTTTCTCATATATGATCTCCTTTTGTGTACTCAAGGTATATAAATAAAGTACCTACTAAAAATTTATGGGTACAAAATTTTTGTGTTTTAAAAATTGATTTAATAAAATCAAAGAGAAAAAAACAAAACAAATAAAGGCTTTTTAACATTTTCTTTTTTAAAAAATTTAAAAATACACAACCCAAATAAGTAGACAGGGCACTATACGACACTATCATAAAGACTAAAGGTAACAATACAATAGAACAGTGAAAGCAAACCGCACATTTTATCTCACGTACAAAACATTCAATGCATATACGAGATGGTACTTGGAACTATTGCTTTTAACACACAACATAGAAAAAAACATGGGCAGAATGTTTCTATTGTCTTCTTGATACAAAATACTCATTTTTTAATTAATGATTCCCAGATAATTACATAAATCGACGAAAAAAAAAAATGAATTTCGAAAAATATGTACAACATTGGAAACCAAAAGGGAGAATGTCATATTTTTTATATAATAATTATATCCGCATTCTAAATTATGATAATAATTTAATTTAATATTTTATTTATATAAAATTTGTCATAAATTCTTTTATATAATGAATTTTATGTCAAAAATAATTTTGTATGCAAGCCAAAAATTTAAAATGTTAAAAAAAATATTTATTTTTTTTGTTTAGTTTTTCTAATTTAAATTTATATATTTTATAATTAACAAATTATAAAAATGACAGTGTTTGAAAATCAAAAAAAAAATAAAAATTATAATTCTAATTAACCTATATATTGCAATGTATTCGTGAGTGTATGTGCATTTTCAAAAATATTTTTTAATTGAGTTGATAAATATGATCAGAATTTTCTAAAAAAAAATTTGATAGTCAATTTGAATAACATATTTAATTTAGATTTATAATAATATTATGAAATATTTAATATATAGGCATCTTAAAGGGATATATTTTGTTGAAATTTAATTATAGGGAAATTATTTTTATAATTTCTAGTACTTAGCATGTATTATAAATGTGTAACGTTGTGTATTCAAATGCTCTACCAACATAAATATGTATATATAAGACCATGAATTTTATTTGTCAGATATTTGCACAATGATTAAAATAAATTGTACAAATATCTGATATGGTATAAAAGATTTTATTTTTTAAATATTATAAGAAATTTTCATAAGTTTTACGCAAATTAGAATGTACATGATTATTGATATAATTATATGCATTATACGAATATACAGTGAGATACGAGAAAAATTTTTCAAACAGGTTTAGATCTCGATTTATTGTATAAAAAACTTTTTCATTCATAAATTTTGAGATATTTAAAAATATGGAACCCAATTTTCATTAATTAAACTTACTCTCCTTAAACTTTTGTTTTGTAGTTTAATATACAAAATTTTCCAGAATGTATTCAATAAATTTTTTCAAAAATCAAAATTAAGTCCATATATCGAAAAAGAATATTCTTAATTGAATGTCGCCTTTATTTTCAGGTAAATAATTTAAAAAAATTTTCAAATGTAATGTTTTTAGTATTAATTAAATAATAATCTTTTTTTTTCACTTTTTTTTTTAATTATGTATTTTGCATTACCCCACACTTTATATAAGTTAATAAATCGAACCTGTAAAGTTCTGTTCTACAGATGAGCCTCTTTTTAAATTTGTGCTCTTTTGTTCCTTTGTTTCTTTTGTGCGTATTTGCTTCCATTTGTTCTCTGTTTGTGTTTGAGATACAAACGTGTGACTGTGCTAAAATAACTTGAAAGCGGATCGTCGTATAACTATGAGATTTTGACTAAAGATGCTTTTCGTTCTAAATTGTATTTCGAAATCTGTTCTGGTTCAATTTATTTAAATCGAGTTTTAATTGACAATAACTTATAAATATTTCTTTATTACACTCTTTATTTCAATTGTATTAGACTTATACTTTAAAATTAAAATCTTGGAAAATTTTTTAAAATCTAGTTCATTTTTCTTTTCCATTATATTTCGAAACAAGATGAAATTTAATTTTATGTATCAATATTTCTTAATGTTTTTTCTTAGGTCATGAGTTGTGGGTCATTGGAACTGATATTTGTCGTATAAATCCTATCTAGACTTTCAAATATGACTTTAATAAATTCGTAATGGGTGCCTTATAAAATATAAGTATTGAACCAAATATTATTGCCAATATTAGCAGAAATTAAGACCTATATTTTACTGTTACTGTTGTTAATTCATTAACATTCACATGTTTAACTAAAGTATACAAATTTGTATATAATGTGTATAATGGAATATGCTTAATACCAATAACATATTTAAGGTATATTGATTTGCAATATAATACTTATAATATAATAAAATTGAATAATTAAAAAAAAAGAAGACAAAAAATTTATGATTATATTTTTTTATATTGATTATTTTAAAAATTCTCTCTAAAAATAATATTTGAATGAATTGAAAGTTTGACATTTTAGTTGTATTAAATTTTTTACCACCCTATTAAATAATAATAATAATAAAAAAAATAAATAAAAATTAAAAAAAAATAAGAGAAAAACAATAAAATAACCATCCCCAATTAAAGTTTAATTTCTCATTACCACAACATTTTATTTTGTGGTTTTTAAAATTAAAGAGAGAGAGAGTTAAATTTTAAATGTTATTGATACCTTTGGTTTTGAATTTTATATATTATTGTCATTATTATTTTGTTCTATATATATTTACATATTTATTCCATACATTAAGTATACATAACCTGCGTTCATATGTGCATATACATATATTTGTGAGACTATATATATTACGATACTATACCAAATAAATAACAAACAAATTTTAATGGTTTTAAATAAATTATATTTAATGTAAAATTACTTACCAAAGTTATTTATCCTCAATTTCAAATAAAATATTTATAATAATTTTTTAATATTAAGTTCATTTAACGTTAATAAAATGTTATTATACGTGTGTACAAATGCATTTTATATATATACTAATTTTACTATATAATTTTGAAAAAATAAATATCCTTGATTAAAACATTTAAAAAATATTCTATATTTGAGATCAACTTAAAAAGTCAATTTTTTTTCCATTAAAAATAAAAATTTGTATTTTGGTTTCTTTTTTCCTTTTCAATTTTAAAGTGCATTTAATGTTATACTAAATTTATAATTCAGAGAAATTTACATATTATGGACATACCTAGCTACAAATTATGTACACATATGTATGTCTATATAGTATCTGGGATTAAAATGTTATAATCGTAAATTTTGTTTAAGTGAAAAAAAAAGTGAAAATTCAAAATTTTTTCTTGTTTTCCTTTTAAATTGAATATTTCAATTTCTTTTTGGGAAAAATTCTTAATTTTCATACATACATACATATATGTGTAGAATATACCTTTTCTCATATGTATTTGAATCTCCTGGAAAATTTTCAATTTTCTTTTTATACTATTATACAAATTATATTCGTAAGGTATTATACATTTGAAATTTCGCTTATGTTCAATAATAATTATCAAAATATATTGAATGTATATATGTACATATGTTTGTACAGGTATATATATATTCTTGTTCAACGTTGAATTCTGAGTTTATTCAGATGTGAGGGTGACTACTTATCTGTTTGTCTGTCCGTTCTTACATTTGACGCAGCCGTGAGTCGAAAACTATGTCACAAAAGTTCATTAAAGTTTCAAAATAGGATTTTAATATAGAACATATCAGAAATCTATCTAAAATGAAAACTCAATAGATCTTAATAGATATTCCAGTATAGTTGTAAAATATTTGAATCATTCTATAATCAGTTTATATAATAAGACAAGACTATTGTAGTAGTTCACCATTGCAATATTTAGAAAATTCATGTAAATGAATTTAATAATAAATTGACATATTATTTCAGATCAAATTCGACTTCACTAATTTTTGTGAAAAGTAATTGAAATTGTGATAGTTCTAATGGTAGCCATACAATTTTCATCAAAAGCAATTTCATCATATTTCCAAGATTATTTGGGTTTTAATACTAAAATTTTACACAACTGAGTTTAGTACAATATGTTCGGAATTAGATTATATTCGATCTGCTCATCAAATTTTAAAAGAAGACTGTTTTTGATATTGCATATACTAAAGCGGTAGTTCCCATGCAATTCGAATATATAGTTATTAATTCAGATCCTAGAGCTAGCGTGACCAACTTTATTTATTCTAGTTTTATTTACTTTTTGACTATTTTCAAATCAAAAACAAAAACCAAAAACTCTTCTTTAAAAAGAAAAATTTTTAATTTTTATATAGCTAATGTTAAAAGAGAGCTATAATTTTTATTAATGTAAAATACTTGTGTATACATACACAAATATATTATGGGTATTAATCGTATAACAGAGTACAGTGCATATAAATGCTGAAACTATTATACAAAGCATATACAAAAAAATTATACATGTATGTATACAATGTAATAAATGTATATCTGAATGTTTGGTTTAAAATGGCATGATTCATTTTAAATTATTTTCAACATGAAATACATTCATAGTTCCTCAAAGTTCTTACATATTAATATTAAAAAAGAAAAACAAAATTACATGTGTACATGTGTTTTTATTATAAATGTCGCTTGAATCGATTGTGCAATTATAAATTGAGAACTGTTAATCATTGCACTATTTCCTGCAATTTTGAATTTAACAACATAAGTACATACATACATTTTGTTTAACTGATTTTATTTATTACAATCATGGGATGAAAATAGTATGAATGGCGCCAATGCAATTACAATTATTTTCAAAATGTCAACAGTTTCGAGTATGAAAATGAAAAATTAAAAGGAAAAGTTCAAGAAGAAAACAAAAAAGAAAAAAGAAAGTTACAGTAAAACATACAAATTTTTTTTTTGTTTTTGGCTACAGAAAAAAAAAATAAATTATTAAAAATTTTAATTTAATTGAAAAAATCTGAACTATATGGCTTTTTTTTTAAATGATTTTTAAAATGATAGACTAGATGTACACACACATACATAAGCAGTAACCTAAATAAATTAATAATAATGTTGGCATAGGCACATTATATTAAAATACAACTGATATATAAAATATAATTTTACCTATATATGTATAAATGTTTGTGGCTATGTTATTGCTTAGTTTTTATATTTATGAATTGTCGAGTATAATAGACTTATAGTTTATTTTTGTATCCATTAGCAAAATTAAATTGATTGCGTGAAAACTGTTTAACATTAAACTAAATTTGTCAATTGAAAAAAAAACATTCTTCACATATAAGTATTACATGAGGTACATAATATGTATGTATGTAACGTGTGATATAATATTAGTTATATTGACAAATTTTATGCATGAAAAGTATTGTAATATACTGCATATTTCGTGCAGAAATTTCTGAGTTTCTTTGTATACATGTGTAAGAATCCTTAATTTTGCAATTAAAAATGTAATACTTATAAGAAATTATTTAAATTCGTAACAATATGCAATTTTAGATTTGGAGAATACATAATTGAGTGAATTCAAGATGTAATTTAAGAATAACATTTCATGTATACGGAATAATAGTGGGTATATTCTCAAAATCTATAGTGTTTTTAATTTCATTTCTTTGGAAAAATGAGAAAATTTTACCAAGAGTTTTTATGTAATAATATATACTTTTGTAGATTCACTGTCAAATCTTCTAGATTTTTATGTGAAACATACTAAGCCCTCGAAATACGATATTTTTGATTTCAGAAATATCTTTTTTTAACAACAAGCAGTAATTAAGTAGACGCAAAAAAAAAATTCAAATATGAAGTATAAATTTTTTTTTATATAATTATAATTAAATCCTAGTCAGAATTATAAATATTGTACGTTTTTGAGACGTAGCATGATGGTGAAAACGATAGTGATAGTAGTAGTGATGGTGACGGTGACAATGACGATAACGATGACGATGACGATGACGATGACGATGACGATGACGATGACGATGACGATGACGATGACGATGACGATGACGATGACGATGACGATGACGATGACGATGACGATGACGATGACGATGACGATGACGATGACGATGACGATGGCGATGACGATGACGATGACGATGACGATGACAATGACAATGACAATGACAATGACAATGACAATGACAATGACGATGACGATGACGATGACGATGACGATGACGATGACGATGACGATAACGATAACAATAACGATAACGATAACGATAACGATGACGGTAATAGATGACTTTGGCAAAAAGAAATATTTTCTGCGTAAGTTGGTTTATGTCGGTAACGTAGCAGGAGGTATGACATCGTCACAACAGCACATTGCAAAATTTGATTGATAATTTTACCTTTAGATTTACACTGTTCTATTAATATCCGTTCAGATGCTTTCCGATATTTCAAAAATTCAATTTATTTAATTTAATTATTATAATCTTTTTCTATCTTGACTTTTTTACAACGTATATATACATGCATACATAATAATATTGCTGAAAAGAAATACTTTGTTAAATTATTCAAAATTATACATATGTATGTACATAAATTGCAATAGAACTATCAAGTAATTTACAAAACACAACTATAAATGTATGAGCATTAAAAAATCAATAATTTGCAAAATTTTGTTTTTGCTTGTTTTGAAAATTTTGGTTTGAAAGTGAAACTGACTATCATTCAAGGGTTTTTCCAAATATTTTACCTTTGTGTCTATATACTTACATAATATAGCATTATGTATGTACACACTAATAAAAACAAAAAAATAAAATAAAATTAAATTAAAATGCATAGTGTACACCCACAGACACACAATAGTGTAGGAAGGAATATTGTAAGAAAAATATGAGTAATCATATTGTTGTATACCATGGATAATAAATTTGTACTGCGAAAAAAGAAACAAAGGTCAGAAAATTTTAAATAAGCAGAAAAACAATTCTAAGAACGATAAATATGCTTGTATGTATTTTAAGAATTTTCTTTTTTTGATTTTTCGCAGATGGTGATTTCAAAAAATTTTAAGGTACAATGCATAACACAAAAACATATGGTATGCTTTTGCATATACCGCGTATGTATGTAAATATAATGATGTATGTAGACAGATTGTATATGCATATAAAAAAATTCATATCAGATGGAAAGGACACTAAACTAGTTAATTGTAAACGAGGAATAAAATGAAAAAGAGAAAAAAAAAACAAAAAATGTTTTCATGAGAAAGACAAAATGGCGACATAATTTATTTTATAGTAAGTCATACACAGTGCGTTTAATATTTAAGCTGGGCGACTTTAAGGCGCGTCAAATTATGTTGATATGGCGCCCCACATTAATTTGTATATACAAACATGCATACATACATATGTATTTAAACATTTATTTGTTTTATGATTTTATTTTGTTCTTATTTACGAGCAGAATGTTCAATGTTAGAGTAAGTTAACATTGTTAGTTAACATTGAACATATTATGTTAATAAAAAAAACTAAGTGTATGTATGTACGTAAATTAGTTTGTTTTCTGATATAGGATGTAAAAATAAAAAGTTTGTAGGCATCAGCAATTTCTAAAATAAAAAAAGAAAAAAAAAACTAAAACCATAAAAGAGCATGGCATTCAAATTAAATTGGGAAAGGTAATTTTTCTATAAAAAAATTAAAACAGTGCCTAATATTGTTTTTTCTCTGTTGTTTTGGTACATAAAAACCAGAAAATTTTTGCTAATAAATGTTTTTTCTTCTTATTCCTTTTTTTTTTTGATTTTGGGATCAGTCATCCATCCCTACTGTTTTGTTATATTTACAATGCAATAATTTTTATATTGATTTCCTCCTCATCTGTCACCATTGATTTTTTTTGAACAAAATATTTTTATATATATGAAAAAATTTTTAGCTATATTTAATAGCTTTTTTATTATTAAAAACAAACAAAAACTAAAAAGAAACTAGAATAGAAAGATTAATTAAAAAAAAAATTGATTCTTGTTTGTTTAATCCGAAAATCATTTTGTTTATATAACAGCTATGAATTTATCGTCAATAAAGTTAATGAAAATTTTTTCCACATTTAATTTTTACCGTATTATTAATTTATTTATAAAAATATAAAATTCATTGTTATATTTGAAAAATGAGTTTGAAAAATGAAAATATTCGGCGGTTCATTGCTTTCTGCTTTTTGTGTGTTTGAAATGGTGAAAGTGAAATTTGATGTTCTATAATTCTCAAAAATAAGGTTTTGATTTTCATCATTTATTTTGAATGGAACAACAGGGACCATCTTTTTTAAATTGGATTTCCAAATTTAATTACAAGAATCTCGAAACAGATTTCAGGAAAAAATTTAAAACTGCTGTAAGACATCTCTAAAACATTAATTATTTGACATTATTAAAGATGACTTCAAAATTTGTCGAATCAGTATGGAATACAAAACACCGACTTTGAAATCGAGTGAAATTTATTTACTATCAAATCAATGCATGGAATTCATAATACCGCTGATTATTAGTGTTTGTTTTTTCCAGGTCATTGGCGATAATTTTTTTTAATCATTCTTTATGATTAATATTATCGATGATTAGCGCCATTTTTTTATCGAATATTGTAATTATTATCTATATAATTAAAATATTTACAATAATGCCTTCAATGAAGTTTTTTTTTTACTAATTGCATAATTTTTATTATTTGAAGGGGAAATTTTCACATTTAAATTTTTTATCGTTTTATAATTTTATAATATTGGTTTTTTTTTGTTTTTTTTCATTTGGGTTAAATGAATAAATAATACGAGGAAATCGATTCGTACTTTGTAGCTAGCCTTAATAATTTTTCGTACTTTAATTCTAGCCTTAAAAAAGATAAACTTTCTATTTTACGTTTGAAAATTGTAAGCATATTTTATGAAAATAAGCTTACAACCAGAGACTTCTCCATATTTGCATACATACATATAATAATTTTTTAAACAATGTTTAGTATATTGTACAAAATTGTCTGTACAATAAATTGCATATTTTTAGGATAAAAGCTAATTATAATTGGAAGAACTTTGATGCATATATAATGACAGTGAGTCGTAATTATGATTTTTAATACACAAAATAATATTCTAGTTTAATGTCATGAAAAATCTCTCACAGAAATTACTATAAAATTTTATGTTAACAAAAAATTTTATGAACAATCGATGTTCCACATATTATGTGTATAGGTGTGGTATAGCAAATTATGCAGAAATATCTAAAATATACTTCCGAAGATCAGAAGATTAATATTTTAAAAAAAAACGAAAAAAATATTTAAGTCAGGCCTAATGCGAGACTCTCTGTCTGAGAGTCAATTTAGAAAAGGGGTATAAAAATCGTACCATTTATGTATTCCTGGACAGCAGGTCGGCGCTGCTGGGACTTAAGTCGGCTCAGGTTACATCCAAGGCGGTCTAGAACTAACGTGCCGCACTCATTGCAGTACCTGACCACCGTGGGCACACGGACAACGAGGAACTATAGATGACTTTATGTATGGCCGCTACCGTTCTGTGGGCTACCTTTTTCTGCCTGCTTGGTTCTAGGCTTGCCCGCCTGCTTGGGGTGGAATACGACCTTCTCTGGCGGAACACGGAAGTATGCCGTCATGTGAAGGTGTTTCTTCAATTGCGCTCGGGAAAATTAAACGCGGACTTCTTGGGTCGAATCGGTTTCGTGTTATTGCGAATTTCTTTTCTGCATACTGCACAGTAAAATCCTTACTATATAAGCTGGGAAAATCTGTCTCCCTCGTTAAACCGTCCACGGTAAATCCTCGACATATTTTTTGATATATCTTTTAATTTGATTTAGTGTGTACAAAGGCAGTTTTTTGTAAAACAGAATTTAATGTATACTTAACGGTCTTTGGGAAACATAGCGAACTTCTTATCAATTTTTAAAAAATATTCAAAATTTAAAAAATAATTTGCGTTTTAAAAATATAGTCTGAACGGTAGCTATCATTTGTATTAAAATTGTTTCGTATAAACTGCGGACTTACGTATATTACTTTGCACTTAAATTCAATTTGTGAATAGTTTCCAAAACAATGATTGAATCAATTATTTCATGCTCACCAATTATAACTAACAATATCAATGTATAATGTGTAAAATATATACATATGTAAATTTCATATACTTATGTGTTTGTTTTGTTTTAATTATTAAGACCATAACTGCAATAAATTTTATTTCTCGTTTTACAAAAATAAAAAAAGTAGAAACTAAAAATTCTATCTTTAAATGTTATTAAAACCGCAGATGTTTTTATGTAAGGTGTTAATATTTACAACAGTTATAACCGTTAGCACCAAAATATATTGAAATTTTGATAATATACATATATAATTATAAAGTATGTATATATATATATATGCAAAAATGTAAACAAATGTATATGCTTAGGCATATAAGTTAGTTATGTAATAAAATAGTATAAACCCCATTATATTGTGAGCATAGGACAAAAACTACATATTGCATGTATACCTACATATGCAAACATACATACATATTGTTTTAATAACCTATTATACGATTATTTATTTGACTTATATGTACTAATTTTTTGTTTTTTTTTTATTAAATTTCCTGCATTATTGCAAAACCTCAACTAAAATATGTGTGTATAGAAATATTGTTGTCGTATGGTATAAGTTGTATCGCAAACTCAAGTAATTATGTATGTATTTAAATATATGTATCTCACTCTCATTCTGTTTTTTCTTACCTTAATATCATATGGTTCACTCCTTTTGTTTTTTGACAATATTTTGCCTTTTTTTTTTACAATAAGTTTACTACATGTAAAAGAAGAAACTGAAATTTTCTTGTCACTAATCCTTTCAACACAAAAAAAAATCTCGTTTGCAGCAATTTGCATGTTGTATACATTTTAACATACATTATGTAAGTACTTGTACACCAAACACGTTAGACAAAAAAAAAATTATTTTTTTTTTGCAGGATTATACAAAAAAATAAAAAATCCAAAGAAAATAGGAATGGTAAATGTTTTTTTTTTCATTTTAAATAAATAATATATTTTCAACACGAAAATTTACCTCTCTAGGAAATTCGACAAGAGGTATGAATAAAACAAAAGAAGGAGTGAAATGAATGAGGAGGGGGAGGAGCGAGGGGGATCGTTAAAAGCAGAAAAATAAGTTAGGGTCGAATGAAAGGTTTGTGAAAAATTCATTCCTAATGCAAAATATTGTTTGTTCGTCTTCATTATTGTTGGTATATTGTGAATTACGAAATTAAATTTTAATACACTAGATACACCTTATTACCCAAATATAAACATATTGAATTTTGACACAAATGATGAAAAGTGAATACAAAACAATGCGACTAAAGAAAGACTGGTTGAAGAGGACATGACATTTTATGTTTAATGTGGTTGACAGTTAATTGCACCATCAAGTTTGACACCATAAATAGTTTTCTTTTGCAAATTTCTAGTGTTTCCAAAACCCGCAATTGTTTATATTATGATGATAATTTAATGTATAAATAATGTTATTCTTGAACTTGATGTTTTTGCAACAGAGATTGATCGAACTTGCTATATTTCTAGATTTTGAAATTTTTGATTTATGAAATTGAATAATTGAATCTCAAATCTCAGATCAAATTCCACTTTTTTGTCCGCTCCATTATCATATAGTTAAAATTTTACTAATCAAGTAAATTTAATTTTATGTATTTGTTCTTTATGCTAAGGTTTAAATGGGTTAAGCGGTAAAAAGAGAAAGACACATTAGAACTATTAAACAATTTTTAATTTCCTTTTTTCAGAAATATTCTTTAAAATTTACTAGAAAATAATTATTATTTATTTTATTAAAAATATTTTGCACCCTTTTTTTTCTAACCTCCTTGTTTTTTTGTATATTTTCTTGTTACTTTCTGAAAATTAAGTAAAATTTTTCTCTAAAGAGCTTAACAAAAACCGGAAACGCTCTTTAATATAATAAAATATTTCTAGTGCAGCTGAGCCTAGTGTATAAAAAATTTCAAGAATTTTTAGATGAAAAGTTTGTTCTTTTCTTGTTTTGCTTGTTTTCCTTTTTATTATTGTTGGTTTGTTGGTTATATACGAGTATTCATTAGCAAAGGAAGACCGAAAAAAAAGATGTCCAGATTGTATATTTGTGATATTGTATGTTTGTTCATTTATTTGAGAACGCACAGAGTAATTAGGAATCATCATAGTGGAAGTAATTTTTTGAAAGAATGTAATTCCTAAAATTTTAATACAATTTTTTTTTTTTTTCATTCTGGAGTTTTCAAAACTGGTTAATTTAAAAGTTCAAAAAATTTAATTATTTGCAAAATATTTAAAGTGTTTGTTTTTAAAAATGATTAATTATTATTATTTAAGTTTTAAATTCTAATATTCTTCCCAAAGTTGTCGAAAGAACACAATTAAAATATCCTTTTTTTTCCCCGCATTCTTATTCTTTAAGTTAATTCAATTTAAGGACAGAAATTATTTTTCGACATTTTATTTTATTATTAAAATTTATTTTTAAAATTTTTTTTCTCATTAATTTGGAGTAATGGAAATTTCTTCATTAAAATATTTGCGCGAGTTTTGAGACGCATTAACATTTTCTAATTGATAAATTTTTTTCAATTTTCTTCCATATTAAAAGTTTTTGTTTTTGTGTTTTTGCTAAACTTAATTTTGCAAATGGTCCTAATGTTCGAAAACCCTTTGGTCCTTGCATAATAAATCCTATTGATTCTAAATGTTGTATAGCTGCCAAAACTTGAGATTCTATGTCTCCATCAATAAACGAACTGCAAAATTAAAATTTTTAAAAATCAAAATTAAACAAAATCTAAAAAACTAAATTGGTTATTAAAACTTACCGATTTCTTATTGATTCAATAATAAAGCAAAGATTCACACCATCTTTGAAATATGGATCACTTTGGAAAACACGAATTGTATCGAGTACGCATAAAGATAGCCTTTGTGAAAAATATTGATCTACGGTGTAATCTGAATAATTGCAAGACATCGTTTTCAAAAGTCGTCTTAAATTTTTTGTTTTTTGTTGAAATTAAGGATGAAACCTGCTAATGAAATCGTAATGTGAATAATGTTTATTAAAATTATTTTCCCGCAAAATAAATTTTATTTTTTACAAAATTGTTGTTTTTAAATTTTTAGTTTAAATAAAAAATTTTGTTTTTTCATTTGTCCTTTTGTCATTTTACAAATTTATTAGAAAAAATGATAACATGATTTTTTTTTATATATTTATGAATATAAGAACCAAAGTATACCTACTAAAGGGTTAAAATTTTTTTAAAAGTCAGAATAATCGTTATATATGTGTATCCAAATCACAATTAAACAATATCGTATCTCAATTTATTACAATTTGATATATTGAGATCTTCTAAAAGAACCAAATAATGTGAAATTAAAGAGTATAGCCAGATTTCATATACGTGATACAATTACCTTTAAAATAAAAGGAAAAGAGAGCACATGTTGTCACTTAATCCATATTTCTGCTGAAAACTTGAATTAAATGACGCTATTTGAAAAATATCGTATATAATCAATTTGCAATTTCGAAGATATAAATACCGAAACTCTTTGTATTCTTCATAAAAGTTTAAATAATTACTTTCATACTCTTTGAGATAGAAATTTTGTATACATGTATAAATAGATTTTTAACTAAAACTTATTTCTGTAGGAAATCTATCTCTAGCCCTCTAAAAGTTATAATCCCGCAAAGCTCTAAATATACCGATTCTCTTGACTATTTATATTATAACGATACCAAAACTATTTTTTAAATTCTTTAAACGCAGAAAAGTAGTGGCTGGCTTCTTCTATTGCGTCTGAGCATGGTTGAGTATTGAAATCACAAAATAACCGCGAAAATTAATCATATATTTTATTTCGTTTTTCTTTAGACGGTAACTTTTTGAACACTGAAATTTTGGTAGTTTACTTTTTTCCACATCAATCTCCTTGCAAGTTGTCGCCTCGCGGAATTTGTAAAATTAAATTCTTTAAATTCAGAAAGTTAACTGTAAATGCTATGCTAGCAAAAAAATAAATTTATTTATCTAAAATCATGCAATTAACCCTTAAATTCGAGCATTAGGTTAACACCTCTTTCAATGTCATTTTTTTCTTTCATCCTAAATTTAGGCAATCTTTGAAAATTATTCGTATAAGAATGAAACTAATTTTAATAATTTGTACACAAATTGTTTGTAAAAGCAGTATTTTCACTTGAAAAAGTGTTATTTTACAAACCATTGATTTGACTCAACTCTATTTATATGCATGTATACGCAATTGAAATTAATTTTTTAAGAGAAACGAGTATCAAAAGATAAACAGAACTATTAAATTTTTGTCCGATTAATATTAAAATATTCTTATTCAATTATAAGAGCCAAAAAAAACAACAATAAACAGCAGCAAAACAAAAATCAGTTCAAAAAATTTTGTATTGTAAAAAGAAGACAGAAAGGTTCATAATTACGAAATGCAAAATTTAGTTTGTGAGACAAAACGTAATGAGAAAACCAAAAATATGAAAGCCGGCCACGACTCGTATGAAAATAAGAATTGGGTGAATGTTTAATAAAATTAAATTAAATATTATTAATAAATTTAAAAGTATAATGCAAATATTTAATTCTTCTTATAATAGATTTTTAATATTTAAGTATAAATTTAATAAATTTTAAATTTTCACGATTCTAAATGTGCAGATTCTTGTATTTATTATTTATTTTTAATATTAAGTACATACAATAAAAATTTTATGACTATATGATCTCTTTTAAGCTATTTCAATAATATTAAAAATAAAAAAGAAAAATCCATTTTTATATAAAGGAAACGTGAATCGAAAAATTTTCAATTTTCCATTTATAATTTAGTATAATCGTAAATATAAAATTCATGTACAATTTTTATTACATATATATATAAAAATTGTAAATATATGCAGTATAATGTAGAGGGAAATTTCTTTTGTTTATATAGTTTTTGAATCGATTTTATGATTAAAATCGATTTTCTCTATTGAAATATGAATAAACTTAAATGAAAGAAGGAAAAACAAGGAAACATTATTCGTAAATGGCGATAGGATTTTTTCTATTTTTATTACATATTTCTATTTTTTTTTACATTTTTACTTTTTTCCCCATGTTTTTGTTTTAATTCAAACTATATACATACAGTAATATGAAAAATTCAAATATAATGTAAGCAAAAAAAAAACATATTCTACTGGCCCAAATTCATTTGGGAATGAAAATGTCAATTTAACTACAATTGATTTCGGATCGTGATATGAATTAGTAGATTTCTCTATAGAAATAATGGCCATAACATGTGTTTTATAATAAAAACTGTATATACTTGTAAGTACATGATAATTTTTATAGGTAAATATAAAACGAATAAATGTAGGTGTATACTATGTATATAAAATATGTATATATATATATATATATTAGAATGTATATAAATATTTACCTGGCTTTTAACTATTTTTCAAACTTTAAAAAACTATAGTAAAAATTACTCATTGTTCATTAAACATACAAACTATTTTTATTATTCTCTTCTTTTATTATGTAATGTTTTTATGTAAAAACGGACATTATTTAGTAGATATTTATATACATATTTATTTTTATATGGTTTTATACATACATACGTACATATATATTGTATATTCGTTGCATATGTTCAGTTCTGTTTGCTGAAAGATATTCTTTTGGAAATTGGGACAAAAAAATGGAAAATCTTTTTTTTTTTTTTGTCCTGTTCTGTTAATCGATATATGAGAGCAATCCTTTTTTAATTTTCGTAAATAGTATTTCATATAGATTAAGTATAGAAGCATTTTTTTCCCCCAGTTTAATTTTTAAATCAAGAAATTGTAATTCATAAAAAACTTTTTTCAATATTGACATGATTTTTTTCAATATTACGCTAGATTAGACTAGAAAATTTTTTAAATTTGATATAAGAAATTAGAAAAATAGTTTCAAAAGGCGAAAAATTTTGGTTTTTATTTTTTAATTTAAAAGGAATATTTTAAGAGTCTCATCGTGTATATTGCTTATTATTCACTTTCAAATCAGATTTCTCATTTCTCCTAATAGGTATGCAATTTTTGCAATAAGATTTTTAATTTTGTTTTTTAATAAATTTTCATACATTTTCTGAAATTATCTTTTAAATTTGCCGCCTTTGGAAACAAAGTAAATTAATGGTGACTAAATTTTGTATAGATGTTAGAAAAAATGGGGAATTCGCGATATGAAAAAATTCTTCTCACTTGCGGAAATGGTATTATATTCACTCCCTTTTTTCTAATTCGAAAAGTGAGAAAGCGAGATACACGATTAATTAGACCTAAATTAAACTTTGATAATGTTTTATTATTTTTTTTTATTTCAATTTAAAAATTCATGTAAAATTTGTGCTATTTAATTATAAAGAATTAATTTAGTCCTAATTCTCTTCAGTTTCTTTTTATTAAAACGTTTAAGTTGTTGCTTTGAAGAGTCATGATAGTCATGGTTGATTAGCGCTCTATAGTCATTCTGAAAAAAAATTTTGATCTTTAATTAAAGGGGCTAAAATGAAATATTTTTTAAGATCTTGGAAATTTTAAAATTTAAATGTAAAATAACAATAAATTAACATTTAAATTCCAAATAGCATCGTAATTTTAATATTTGCTAGATTGAGATGTAAGATAAATAATCAAGATATTTGAATATTAGACCCTTTAATTTCCAAAAGTAGATCTTGCTATAGTTATGATAAAAACCTAGCTTTTTTGTATAAAATATAGAAAAAAAAACATTTATTTTAAAACTTTGTTGTGGTTTAACCGAAGGTTTAGCAACATACATCGTGTCAATATTTTGAAATTAATTATTTTACTATAATTGAACGAAAAATAAAATAAAACACTTAAATAATAACCAAAATAATTGAGTCGATATTCAGTTGTGAAGAATTAATCGAGATAAAACTCGCAGATTTATTAAAATTATTTTTATTTCTACTGTCTAAGGCTATATTCCTAAAGTTGACTTAATGTGCGAATTAAAAATTATTTTTCGTATAAAATAATATTCTATATAATTTCGATGATTTGAGCTATTTCAAATAAAATGAATCTAGGATGAGAACACTTTAAAGACAATCAATGTTGCAAACATAACTATAAATCTCCAAATAAATTTATTTTGAGCTAGGTTGTCGTCCCCTATCGCAAATCAGAAATATAATCTTAAATATTTCTCAAATAAAATTTTATATATGGAAAACCCTAGTCCCTCTATTTTTTTTTTAATCCAATATATTTGTACTTATTTATAACTATATAAACAAGAATTAAAATCATTTTCAAGTCTTAATTCAAACTTCGAAAACTATACAAAAAAATATTTTTTTTCTTTCACATTCATGCCATCAATTCTATTGTTATATTAGATAAAAAAATTTCGACAATTGTTATAAAATTTTGGTAGCATTTTTAACATATATGTTGGTATCTAATAGTTCTTTTGAAAATTATTTAACAGACCTTACATATTCTATACTTTATACCGTATATTATATTACATTTGTATATTTACATGCATTTATGTATATTTGCATATGTTTTATTCTACAGATATGGTCCAATGTTCGATATTTTGTATACAAATAGTGTAAAAAACATACATATATACAAATATATCCATTTATAAACACATATATTACATGTATATGGTGCATAAATGAATATACATTAAAATTGGCTGAATCATAACCAACAACAATGTTTTCTTTTCTTTTTTTTTTTTTGAAATAAACATATTGTATGTTCGTATATTTGTATGTTACCTACGGATGTTTATATACATGTGATAATAATATTGTTATACACTGAATAATCCTAATGTCCATTTTCTTCTCACGTAGCATTTATCAGACGTGGTTGACTGAAGTGTCATGTTTGATCAACTC